AAACATTTAACATTTCTACACAATATACAATGTGATTAATAATTATATTAAAGTGATACTATGTCTTAGAATTAACATAAAATTAAAGAATTTTAAACTTGATCAATAAGAGCATATATTCTCAGTAGATATACCTGGTGTCATAAATAACATAACAGGATCCTTATATAATCCAATAAATCTAAAAAACTTAGTAATTATCCATAAATATGCAATTAACTATTGAAAAACGCTTAATATTAAGATTAATTGTTTTTCAATAATTACTTAGTTTTATGAATTTTCCAATTTTCCAGATTTTACAGGGATTCTGTTGTAACTTTATGACACCAGGTAAGTTAACTGATGAATATAGACTAATATTGACCTTTTCCAGAACTTAAATTTTATGTTCATTCTAAGACGTAGTATCACTTCAAAGAAGTGTGTTTATTTTATAATATTGTCGTGTGATTTGTACTCCTCACTTCTAAGTGTCCTTCAAATCTAAAACTTATCAAGACTATGTATATAAATCTCAATAGAATTAGGAAAGAAAATCATCAAGTGTTTAGAAAACCATTGACCAATCAGATGACTGAAACACTAAAATCTAAGTTGGAATTTCTATAACCTAATCACTGACCCACATCTGATTAACCCAAATTCATATTAAAACCACACAAACAAAATTTAAAATTGGAAACCACAAAACAATAACCACAAAATTTAAACACCGAGTTTTTACAAAATCAAAGTTTCTAACTCAAAAACAAAAACAAAAGGATAAATAAAGTATGAACCATTGTGTTAACCTTTTTAAGTTTTTGCCCTTTTCTTGTAACAATTTACATTTCAACTCCTAATGTGTCTTAAAAAAATGTCTTCCTTTCTACTTCACGACGCGAACACGGTCGGCAAACATCGTATGGGAGGTTAGCTATTGTCAAATTCTTCGTCACCTTTATCAAGTGCCAAACTCTTTACTAACATGTCTTGTTTACACAACCAGTGATTTGTCTTCCTGATTTATTCAAATACAACAACTCAAAACAAGTTCTAACTGAGATTTTCTTAATACACCCTACAAAACAAGTTCACACAGCAAATTTCTAAAGACTGGATAACTAAGACATGTGTGACAAAGAATTACTGAAGAGATCAACGATAATATTCGCCTTTCCCAACTTAAAACGACCCGTTTCAACTTGGATTACTTTGTTAATTTTGTTTTGGCAAATATCTTTTTGTGTTTTCATTTAAACTTTTTTGAACTTTTATCTTAAATTTGAAGCAAGAGAAGTCTTCAGTGTCCCGTTTTGTACTTGTTAGTTACCCTAGTAACCAATTATTTACCCTAGTAACCAAGTAGTTACCCTAGTAACCAAGTAGTTACGCTAGTAACCCAGTAGTTAACTAGTAACCCACTAGTAAACAAGTAGTTAGCTAGTAAACCAGTAGTTACCCTAGTAACCAAGTAGTTACCCCAGTAACCCAGTAGTTACACTAGTAACCAAGTAGTTACCCTAGTAACCCACTAGTAACCCGGTAGTTACACTAGTAACCAAGTAGTTACCCTAGTAACCCAGTGGTTACCTTAGTAACCCAGTAGTTCACTAGTAACCCGGTAGTTACGCTAGTAACCCGGTAGTTCAATAGCAACCCAGTAGTTTCCTTAGTAACCATGTAGTTCACTAGTACCAAAGTACTTGACAGTATTCAAAATGTCTAACGATCAATTTCATCAAAGTAATGTAAAATTCCAGACATTTGACAAATACGCCAAATTTTAATCCCAAGATTATTTGGTCAAGGGATCTAGTCTATCATTAAAATATAATATTTGAAATAGCACAGTACAGAAGGAGTAGAGAGAAGCAGTAAGACTCAAACTCCAAAAAAAGAGGCCATTTTCAAGCATTGGTTAAGAATATGGACATTATATTACTCTTAACCACGAGAATACAGACAACAGACCAATTCCATTACTGCAACTAAACACCATTCACTATTGCCCCTCCAAATATATTACCTGGCCCCCAAACAATCAAGTCTGGCTATGGGCCTGCCATGATGGACAAATTTCTATCTTTACTCGAAAGAAACAGACAGGACAATCAAGTCTAGATAATAGAAAGATTAACCAGTATTTATTGACTATTTGTTACAAGGTATAACGAGAATGTCTGAAAGCCTAGTAGTAAATAAATCACTTTCCGCTATAATCACACGCTTCATAATGGATTCAGTCTTTCTCTTATATCATTGACCCAACGCTACAGATTCCATCAATAATCAAACACTAATGGTATAGTATACAGTATCATTAACAATGTGGACTCTCCGAAGGGTAATTAGTAGACCAACTAAAACTAAGTGATGCAGAATTAACAAAGGAAATTATCAAATAAGCATTGTTAATTCAGTGGACTCAAAGGGTTGCCAAGTTGTCAAACTCAAATAAACATTATTAGCTAATATAGAACAATGTAAATTTAAATCTGCAAGGAGTAAATTTACAAGGGACAAGTTCCTATTGCAATTACTAAACACTAAATTGCAGTGAAAATACCATGAAATTATTTTCTACTGTCCTGTAATGTTGGATATTCCTGCAAATGGTGGCATAACTACTGAATATTATTCCATACCATCTTATATGCAAAGATTTTTTACCAAAATTCAGCAAACGTTTAATTTTCAGCAAAAACATATCTCTAAGTTATTCTTAAGTTATTGCCCTCTACAGTTGGTCATTTGACTAAATGGTGTTATTATGTATTACACAATATTATTCTATATCATCAGTTCTAAAGAGGTTTGACAAAAACAAATCTTATTTCAAAATACACTAAAAGTCAGTAAAATATATTGCCGTTCAAAATCATGAAGTTTTTGCCTTTTAAAGATGGTCTTTCGTATAAATGCTTGCTTTATTACGCAGTTTTAATCCATATCAATACGTTAAATGATGATTCCCTATAAAATTCTGCAAAAACACAATCTCCTTTAATGTTGGTTACTTCATTAAACACTAACTTTGAATATGGGAATTTAAAGCCTTATAAAGATGGTCATTCGTGTAAAAGATGGCGTTATCAAAGGATATTATTGATGTAGAGTGAAGTTAGTGTAAAATAAATAGCTGAGTGTTTCAAGCGTTATTAGATGGGAGATTTTGAGGAGATTTGGAACTATTCACCAGTCTGTTGAACTGTTTGCCTTGCTACCATTGTAAGCAGATTAACAATCAATAAGCACTCACTATCAACACAAGGTGGAATATCGTTTCCAGCGGCTCGCGAGGTCGGCACGAAACAATCTGCCAGTGTCGACAGAGTTTATAACTAGAATAGATTGGATGTCGGATGTATTAAGCTGTATGACTCGAGGCTGTATTAGTAGCTATCAATATGTGGTTTTCTTCCTGACATTTTGTACCCTCACTAATCAATATAACTAATACTCCCATTAGCAGATGCCAAAGGCGGCCATTTTGATTTCTACAACAATTCAAATACTATTGCTTTTAATTATCTAGTATTTAGCGTAAAACAACTCAAACACGCAAGTTTAAAATCAACGCTTACATTGCTACTTTATTTTGATTGTCAGAAAGCAATCCATTACTACTTTGCATGAGATAAAACATCTTCACAATGTCAAGCTATTACAAACTTCATCTTCACAATGTCAAGCTATTACTAACTTCATCTTCACAATGTCAAGCTATTACTAACTTCATCTTCACAATGTCTAGTTATTACAAACTTCATCTTCACAATGTCAAGCTATTACAAACTTCATCTTCACAATGTCAAGCTATTACTAACTTCATCTTCACAATGTCAATTTATTACTTACTTCATCTTCACAATGTCAATTTATTACTAACTTCATCTTCACAATGTCAAGTTATTACTTACTTCATCTTCACAATGTCAAGCTATTACAAACTTCATCTTCACAATGTCAATTTATTACTAACTTCATCTTCACAATGTCAAGCTATTACTAACTTCATCTTCACAATGTCAATTTATTACTAACTTCATCTTCACAATGTCAATTTATTACTAACTTCATCTTCACAATGTCAATTTATTACTAACTTCATCTTCACAATGTCAAGCTATTACTAACTTCATCTTCACAATGTCAATTTATTACTAACTTCATCTTCACAATGTCAAGCTATTACCAACTTCATCTTCACAATGTCAATTTATTACTAACTACATCTTCACAATGTCAATTTATTACTAACTTCATCTTCACAATGTCAATTTATTACTAACTTCATCTCACAATATCAAGCTATTACATACTTCATCTTCACAATGTCAATTTATTACTAACTTCATCTTCACAATGTCAAGTTATTACTAACTTGCAGTGATTTGATTGGTTTGTACTCCAGCGAATACAGCCAACCAAAGCCCTCAACAGAAAGATTGTTCATATTACGGCTAACAGATTTTCTGTCACACAAGAAAGGTGGCTATTGCAGTCAAGGTATTGATGTTCGTAATAGCCTGACAATGTTAACATAAGGATAATACTGTTCCAATAACATAACTTCAAATCAACTAATACTCAAATTTGAATACGAAGAAATAAAATCTGCATGGAGAACAGTGCGTGTGTTTTTCTGCCCGGTGCAGCAGTGATGTATAAACACCATGTAAATAGAGGATGTGTTAGAAATCCACTGTTTATTTTTAATGTAAACATTTTCTATTTAACTGTATCAGATCTTTTCCTCTTATTTTTACATTCTTTCACACATTTATATTACATTTAAGCTATCTTATTTGAATTTTAAATCTAATGTTTGGTTATATTTTATAGAAAGAAAGAAACCGCTGTTTGAATAACAACTAAAATTCTCAATGATTCTATCTACATGCTAAATCATTACCATTTAATCTCTGATTTTTATCTAAAGGAGAATACGCACCAATGAGACTCATTTTGAATTTCACTCTTACATACATCATTTCATTTTATTTCATTTTATTTTAACAGCCTTCCCCATATGTTAAAGGAATACCACATCTTAGAATGAACATAAAATTTAACAATTTTAATCTTGGCCAATAAGAGCCAGTAGATATACCTGATGTCATAAATAACATAACAGGATCCTTATATAATCCGATAAATCCAAAAAACTTAGTAATTATCCATAAATATGCAATTAACTATTGAAAAACGCTTAATATTAAGATTAATTGTTTTTCAATAATTACTTAGTTTTATGAATTTTCCAATTTTCTAGATTTTACAGGGATTCTGTTGTAACTTTATGACACCAGGTAAGTTAACTGATGAATATATACTCATATTGACCATTCT